TTGATTCTACAGTAATAAAACATAAAGTATCTTTCTATGGGAGCCAAAGAATTCTGTCGGCAGATTGCTGAGGCTTTGGATCTTAAAGTTTCCTACAAGTGCAGACCTGTGCTCGCTAGAGGAGCTCATTATTTTAAGAGCTAATAATACCTATCTAGGTTGATGACTTAAAAGAGAGCTCACCAAATGTGCAATTTCTACTCATTTCATTCCAAGTTTTGTGTGGGAAAGTAACTCTCATGTTTAAAGAGGGGAAAAAAATAAATTATGATGAGAGATCAAATCTCCAGTGCCAGCTCTCGTTGTCCCGTACAGACTGAAGAAGATCTACATCGAGGCGGCCGCAGCTTCAAACATCACTATACCCGATCATCCCGTGACCTTTGACCCCGAGGCCAGCTGGCTGCAGTTCCATCTAGGGATCAATCGCTATGAGCTGTATTCAGGAGACGACAGCAGCATCGACAGACTCCTGCGAGACATGCAGACAGCCTCCGTCATCAGCGCAGGTCATGCTTTCTCAAGCCAGAGAGGAATAACCCTAAATCTGAAATATGCTATGCACGATCTCATCCTGCAGTATTGCATTGTGTCTGACAGATTTCACTCCGGATGAGAAAGCGCTGAAGGGTGCATGCGACTGCTCACAAGGTAAATATATATATATATCAGTGCGGTCAAAAGATTAATCGCGATTAATCGTATCCAAAATAAAAGTTTTTGTTTGCATAATGTATGTATGTGTGCTGTGTATATTTATTATGTATATACAAATACACACACATGCATGCATATATTTAAGAAAAATGTTACGTTTATATATTAAATATATTTATTTGTAATATAAATTATATCAATATAAATATAGACATGTAAATATTTTCAAAATATATACATGCATGTGTGTGTATTTATATATATGCATAATAAATATACACAGTACACACATATATTATGCAAACAAAAACGTTTATTAATCGCAATTAATCGATTGACAGCACTCGTTTTTACACTATTTTTCTGCCAGGTTTGAACATTCTTAGCTGTAAAAAAAGTAACATAAAACATTCCAATGTGCATAAATGCATACAAAATAAAAATAAATATGATGGCCACTTCTGAGTAAGAACTTCTGGGAATGTCAATTATGAGGCGATACCTAT